CAATACAGTTTCTTTTTGTTTAAAAAATAAATAAATAAATACCAAAAAGGGCCTACAAGGATATTCACCAAAGTATTAACAATGATTACCTCTGGGTGGAGGCATTATAAATGTTATTTATCATTTATGCTTTCCTGAATTTCTAAATCATCCTACAATTATTATGTATTACATTAGTAATTAAGAAAATACAGAATGTTTACAATATTGCTGTGACTATAGCAACAACAGTATCCAAAATCATGCTAACATTGACATTTCCATTCTTTTAGGCTGCACCAAAATTAGGGACGCCTGTCCTCTCTAGATCATATCATACTTTGATACTTTAATCACAATGAAGAAATTTTCAGAACTCTAAGAAACAACCAGACAAAAGTTTTCACTCCACCTTTGTTTATGATCAAGTACAAAGTCAAATAATAATTATATATTAGTCATTCTGCTTTCAGCCCCCTGCCAAAGGTTAGAATCAAGAGTGAGGAAGAAGCCCTGGATCTCATAACCAGTATGGCTCAGCTTTTACCTACATCCAAATCTTGAGCCAGAAATCTTTTTTAAAAAGTGGATGGGAGAAATATAGGTATTATCTTTCTCAGGATAGAAAGTGTGGGCTTTCTACAACTTCTAATCACAATTCTTCTCTGTCTCATTTGGGAGACAGAGAAATGATTTTCTCCTCCAATGTATTTAAAAGGCATACACCCAAAAGGCAAGCAAGCAGGATTCCTTCTGAGCAAAGATGCTTTAAACAGGAGATTTTCAAATGTTAAATGTTCTCTTTCCTCAGTGCAGATATGCAGCCTAACTCTAAGAGGGCCAAAAAGACTCTGGCAGTACTTGGCTCTGAACAATAAGCAAGAGTCAAACTGTTAATTCCATCTGCTCCCCTCCAAGACAAAGCACTACCTGCTGGTACCAGGGGTCTCAGGCTCCATTTAAGGGGTTTTCCTGAGGGGCATCCATTTTTACAATACTAAGATGCTCTCTAATTTTTGTGAGGACTTCAGAGAACTAATTTTGATACAACATGATGACAACTTTGATGCTGATAACAAAGAAATATACTATCTTTACCATCACATTCTTTGTTAGAGATGATGTTCCCGAATTGTCTTCCTTTCTTATTGGTCAAAGCTCTGAATTCCATCCACTTCTATCTCCTCAGGGACTTAGTTCCAATAAATACCTCACCTTTCCTGAATTTCCTACTTCTCGCTTTCCTAATGCATGTAAAGAAACGAACATAACATTTCTTCAACCTGTATCCCTCTGCAGTGGTTTTCAACCATGCTTGCACACTGGAATTACCCAGGGATCTTTAAAATACCTATGCAACAGCCAGCTTTGGTGGGCTAGTGGTTAACGTTTGATACTCTCACTGCCCTGGCCCAGGTTCAATTCCTAGTCAGGGAATTGCACCACCTGTATGTTGGTTTTCATACTGTGGTGGCTGTGTGTTGCTGTGATGCTGAAAGCTATGCCACTGGTATTTCAAGGGTCACCCATGGTGGACAGATTTCAGCAGAGCTTCCAGATTAAAACAGACTAGGAAGAAGGACGTGGGCACCCACTTCCAAAAATATCTATGCAACTAATCTATAGTAATAGAAAGTAGATCAGTGGTTTCCTGGGGGATGAGAGGGAGAGATTACAAAGGGACATGAGGAAACTTTTGGAGGTGATTGATATGTTCTATTATTTTGATTGTGGTGATGGCTTTACAAGTGTAAACATATGTCAAATGTTAAACTGCACACTTTAAATATGTTTAGTTTATTATATGCCAATTATACTTCAATAAATCTGTTGAAACAAATACCGATGCCTGGGTTGCATCCCATTCCCAAATTGGTATGGGGGTTCCCTCCGGAAATCAAGATTCTTAAAAGCTCCCCAGATGATTATAAATTTGCAGTTAGATTGAGAACCACTGCTCTATAGCTATCATTTTCTCCCTTGTTTACTTCGGTTTTCTTGAAATGCCTCCCTCAATCATGTCTACTTTATCATCACCCATTCTTTCTCAATCTTCTGAAGACTGGTTTCTGAACCACGACTCAGCTAAAACTGTATTTGTTAAAGTCACCTATGAACTCCTGACAAATTCACTGGCCCCTGGAGTCCTCTCCTTACTTGACGCCTCTATCCAACATTCAAAATTGTTGACCCAGTCCCTCCCTATTTGAAAATCTCTCCACCCTTAGCATCTCTCCTGATGTTCTTCCTACCTTTCTAACTACTACTCTTTCACACTATTCTTCTATCTACTTCTGCTTTTTATCAGTCTGTTCTCTGGCTGCTGCTTTTATCGTGCTAAAGACTTTCCCTGAGTCATTTCAACATAACCAAATCAATACAGCTTCAATTCAACCCCCAGTCTTCTCTCAAATCCTGATTTCTTTTATAAGTTCCACATCCATAGATCCAAACATCTATCAACATCTTCACTTGAATGCTCCACAGCTTCCTCAAATTCAGAAAACCCAAAATAGAATTTATCATCTTCCCTGCATTTCTGTGTTCCTCATTTCCAATCAATGGAACCAAGTCAAATCCTCAGGGTAATGATTTCTCCTTCTTTCTTCCCAAAGGTGATAGGACCTGTCACATTCTACCTCACTCTGCCAGAGTGAGGGTCTAAAACACAAATCCATTAAATGGCTTCTTCTTCATCACCTTCAATCCAATCTCTTTAGCCAAGGATACTATGCCCTGGTCTGGCCTTCTACCACCCTCAATATGCTCACCTTCCATGATTTGCCTATCTAACTCCTGCATTCAAGTCATGTCAATGTCCATGTTATTGACTTTGGACTTGTCATTGACAATGACTTCTCTAAACTGCCTTGGTTTCTCAAGCCTCCTTGCCTTCTCACTTACATTCTCCTCTTGGAAAGTTATTCACTCACCTCCTGCACTTGGCAAAATTATATCACACTTCAAAATTCTACTGTGTGCTCCTGACTCTACCTACATCCAAGCTGAGTTAGCCATCTCCTACTCTGCTCCCTTACTACACTAGGCATATCTCTATTCACACTTATTACATGGTATTATAATTGTTACTTCACTTATCTGTCTTATACATTAGACAGTAAATTCCTTGATGACAAGAGCTATGACATTCATTTCTGTACCTGTAGTACCTATTCAGCCTGGGGCAGTGCAAAATAAATTTGTTTGACATAATTTCAATTATTTACAAAACGTAAATTTGATACCCCCAAAATGGTCTTGATATAACATTTTTTAAACATTTCTTAATATTCATTATAAAATAAATATCAGGCAACAGGATCCTGAATAAAACAGTTGACTATAAGATATATTTAAACTCTGCCAAAATGACACCACTCTAAAAATTGCAACCAAGAGCAGATTTCATAAAATAGAAACACAACAAAGAAAGGAAGCATAGCGGGGATAACATGCTGACCTAGGTAACGCTACATCTGGGTTTCCACATCTAGATACTGTTAATGCTGATAACTAAAAGGGTTTATAATACCTCTATGGTAATAATTGTAGGAAATCAAAAAATGATAAAATAAGCCACATTCAGAATTTGTTTTCTGAATACGTGATGATTTTTCCCCCTTGCCACTTTGTTTAAATGAATTATTTGAAAAACTGACTTTAAAGCTACTATTCATTGGCCAAGCAGATCCTAAAGATTTTTTTTCTTTCTTGCCTTTCCCTGCACTTCAAAAATATGGTGCTTTGGACTAATATTCATCTTGTAAATCTTAAAATGTATTAACCTAAAGAAAAAATGCTTAGAAATGGGGGGGGGGGCTGTGTCTGTGGATGTTAGGAGAAAGTTCTTACCGAAAACAAGGCTCCCAGGACTATCCCGTTGACTCAAGGTTACCCCGATCCTTATGACTTTATGCAGATAAGATTTTAAACGCTGAAAATTTCAAACTGTGAAGTGTTACATGAACCAAAGACGTGGCACAGCTGCACCAAAAACTACTATGTGACCCAAAGGACAAATAATTTGCAAAAGGACCGCTTGGCCCTACAGCCTGTAGAACGGTCTCTGAGATAACTAGCAGCTGCCGGGGGAACAAACTCCCCCTACCTGAAGAGCGGAGCGGCTGCCCAGCGTGTGATAGTGTATCCGAGAGCCGATTGTGAACAGTACGAAACCACCAGGGCAAAATTAAAATTTTCAGGAATGTCTAAACTCTGAGGGTACAAAGCACACATGTGCACGCTAAAGGGCAGATACCCCAGTTTTGCAGAAGCGTGCAAACTTGGGGTCTTTGAATGCAACAATTTTCACACAAAACCCCGACGATCCTCGAGTATGTTAAAATCAGCCTCAGGAGAGGAATAACTCATAGAAAGAAGGGGCAAGGGCTGTAATATCCAAGAAAGGAATCGTGGCTGCTTTCTGAATCTCTCCGCCCCGCGGGGAACCAAAGACCGAGGGGAACGCTGCTTTCAAAGACGAGGGGGGTCGACGGTGACCATTTTGGCCACTAGACTGGAGTGAGAGGGAGGGAGTGGAAGTGGTGGAGGCCAGGCCGGAGCATCAGCCGCGGCGGGGCGGGGGTGTGGGCTCCCCCCGCCACCCCAGGCCGACCCCGCAGAGACGCGGCCGGTGGGGCCGAGGCGGCTGCACCGGGTCACGCCGGAGTCTGGACCGCTCTTCGCCAAGAAGGAGACAGTCCCGAGTCCGCGCGCACAAAGCTGCCGCCGCCCAGGCAGCAGGCGGGCTGCGCCCAACTTCGGGGCCAGCAGCCGCCAGCCGCAGCCCACTCACCCGGCCGGCCGCTCGAGCCCCCCGGACGCCCCCCGCGCCCAGTGCCGTCTCGAGCCCACCCGCGGCGCCTCGCGCGGGAGCCGTTACCCCGACGAAGCCGCCGCCCCGGTGACAAAGTCCCGGTCCCCTCCCCGCCGCCGCCTCGCCCCGGCTTCTCCCTGACAAAAAAAGTTATCAGTCGCCGGCAGCCCTGGGGGCCCGGCGTGGGTGGCTCGGCCGGACTCACCAGAGTGACTCTCCGAGCTCCACGTCCAGAACCTCCACTTGTCTGGCTCGCAGCGACAGCGACAGCCGCTGCTCGGCTTTCTCCTGAGTAGCAGCACCACCTGCCCCCCTTCTTCCTAGCAGAACGGGTCCCGGCGAGCCATCTTCCCCCTCCGCTCACTGACTGACAACCCAGCCCCAACAGCCGCCACGGCCGCCAGCCGCTCTGACAGGCACAACTAAGGACCCGTCCCCAGGCAGCCAACCACCACCGCCCCACGCCAGTTCGGCCTATCGCCGTCCTCCGGGGCGGGACCAGACCAACTTCTCCGCCAATGAGAATCTTCCATGAGGTGGGAGGGAGGGCGCCTTCGGTGGGCGTGGCCTGAGCAATGGGCGTGGTCCGGGCGCCCAAGGGCAGATGATTGACTGTAAGATTTTTGGCATCTGCTAGGTGACAGTGATCAGTGAAGGTCTCTTAGACTCTGAGCCATTAGGATTTATGGCCCTCTCAGAAGAAAATAAGCCTTTCAGAGTGATGTTACCCATAATCACAGAAGAGAAACTAACTGATGTTTTAATTTCTTGGTCAGGAGGATTTACTTCCCAGTAATTCGATCTTAAGTAATATCAAAATCTTATCAAATCCTAGGAGAAAAAATGTACGTTTTTGCAAAATGGTAATAAAAATGCTTCCCACCTTATTATATCATTGCTTTTGGCCTTAGCCTGGAAAAAGTCAAACACAATTCTCCAATTCTCTTTCCATGGGCTCTTTTTCTCTCCATCTTCTCTCCCTACTCTTCTCTCAAACACACACTAAACATTTTGTGTAACGACTGGAACCTAAACACAACCGAACCAGCTCCTACATATAGTCCCTCTGTTTTTGTCTTTCTCAGCTCCTCCTACCACACCCCTCTCAAGTCCAATAAGAATTAATTAGAAGAAAAATGGACCTTCAACCTGGAAGACAGGAAGTCATTCTCTTCTCAAACGTGCCAAACACACAAATAACAAGCACATAAACAAGAAAATACATTACTTGATATCAAAAGAGCTTCAAGCAAACAATTTCAGGTAATCATTAGGGCAGATCTATAGAACCACTAGACAGGCTTCTCCTTCCAAGAGCATAGTCAGATTTATAAGCAAATAATGACAAAATACAGTGATAAGGGCAACAGAGCTGGGTTCAACAAGCAAGGGGAACATAGAGGAAGAAATTATTGTTATTGTGTTTAGGAAAGTCAAGGAACTTCACAAGGAAGGTGATGTTTGAATTGGATTTTAAAAGGTAAATAGGAGTTTGCCAGAGAAGAAAGTCAAAGGGCATTTCAGGAAGAGGGAACAGCATGTTTAAAGGCATGGAGTTGTGAAAGGTCACTGAGTGGTTGGGGAACGTTGAGAAAGTGGGTGGGGCTGAAAGATGAAGTAGCAGCCAAAAATTAAGCTAGAGCAAAAGGTTGAGATGGGATCGTAAAAGGCCTCACAAGCTACACTAAGGTATTTAGATGAGCGCTGTTCAACAGAGCTCCCTGCAATGATGGAAATGTCCTATATTTTTGTCATCCAATATGATAGCCACTAGCCACATGTGGTGGTCTAGTGGTTAAGATTCGGTGCTCTCACGCTGCGGCTTAGGTTCATTTCCCTGTCAGGGAACCACACCACCTATCTGTCGGTTGTCATATTGTGGCAGCTGTGTATTGTGATACTGAAAACTATGCCACCAATATTTCAAATACCAGCAGGGTCACCCATGGTGGACAAGTTTCAGCGGAGCTTACAGACTAAGACAGACTAGGAGGAAGGACCTGGCCATACACTTACGAAAAAATAGGCCATGAAAACCCTATGAATAGCAGCAGAGCATTGTCTGATATAGTGCCAGAAAATGAGAGGATGGCACAAAAAAGACAGGGCAGGGTTCTGCTCTGCTGTACACAGGCTCCCTAGGAGTCAGAACCAACTCCACAGCACTAACAACAAAGCCACACGTGGCTACTGAGCACTTGAAATATGGCATAGCTGAGGAATTCAATTTTTTATTTGAATTTTAATAACTCCCATATTGGTCAGTTCAGGTTTAGACTTTATTCTACAGGCAATGAGGGAACAACAGAAACTTTTAATGATGTAAACAGCATCATCAGTTTTCTTTTAATGGGTGAGAATCCTAAAGACAGTGTAGAGACTGTCTGTTCTCTTTGAGGGGAGTCTTGACAGATCAGACGAGGATATTGCTGGAGGATTGGTAGAATAATTTAGGTCAGTTGGGCCAGAGTCTGGCGAGGGGAAGTGTTTACCCAAAGAAATAGAGAGAGGAAGATCGAGAGAGTGTGTACCCTGACATCTTAGAGAACACAAGCAATCAAAACCCGAGGAACTGAATTCTGCCGTCAAGTCCTAGCAGAATAGGGAGTAAGAAAGTGAGGGGCCAGAGAGGGAAAGAAAGCCAAAGAGTCAGCTAGATCATAAAATGGGGACAGAAGCAAGAGTGAGCAGAAGAACACACACACACAATGGGTTTTACCGGCCATTGTCCATGTAGGCCACCAATGTGTTGGCCTGATTTAAGAGCCTGAGAGTCTGGTGTCAGGAAGGCCCATTGAGTCCAGGGCAAGACTCCAGGAGAGATGAAGGCCTGAACCACACCTGTGGAAGTGGGGATGGAAGGGAAGGGCAAATATTTATTGACTGCCTGCACTATGCAAGGCTCTCGGTTTGTCAAGGACACAAAAGAACGCTTGAGGCTTACAGTGTGGGTAGCTGGATAACAAACTGAAAAGTGAAGCAAAGATTAATCATTTAACACAGCAATAGAAGAGATGACACAAAGCAGTACAGGATTGATTCATTGTTCAGATGATTTTCTAGACAATAACTGTTGTGTGAGTTCAGAAGAGGGAGCAAGCCATCCAGTCAAGGTCGGTCAAGGAAGGGTTCACAGAGGAGGTAAAAACTCAGCCATGTCTTGAAAATGGACAGGAATTTGAAAGACAAAAAAAAAAGTGTGAGGAGGAAGCTCTTGGAATGCCTAGAGAAGGAAGAGAAGAGGGGAAGCATAAGCAATGTACAGCGGGTATGTGAGGCCATGTGGGCTGGGCAGAGCCTGGCAAGCTGGGCTGGGGATGAATGATAGAGTGCCTTGAATGAAAACTCAAACGTTCAGATTCTGTCCTTTTGCCTAGTGGCTTCCTGTCTGCTCCTCTGAATTACTTAGGACGCCCTTCAAAAGCATCAATGCTCAAACCACATCCACACTAAATAAATCAGAAAATTGGGGGGTGGAGCCTGGATATGGGGTTTATTTTAAAAGCTTCCCAAGTGATTCTAACATACACCCAGGGTTGAGAACAAGGGAATGACATCATAACATTTTACTAATGCTAAATCAGGACTGGGCATTGGACGGATTGAGTAGAGAGAGACTGAAGGCTGTCTATGTATTTTTTTTTTTTTTTTTTTGTGAGGAGGACCAGCCCTGAGCTAACATCCAATGCCAATCCTCCTCTTTTTTGCTGAGGAAGACTGGCCCTGGGCTAACATCCATGCCCATCTTCCTCCACTTCATATGGGACGCCGCCACAGCATGGCTTAACAAGCGGTGCGTCAGTGCGCACCCGGGATCCGAACCGGCGAACCCCGGGCCGCCGCAGCGGAGCGTGTGCACTTAACCGCCTGCGCCACGGGGCTGGCCCCTGTCTATGTATTTTTATACATTTGTTTCCTTTCTGCAAGAAGACAGGAAGCAGTTTATTGCCTGATTTCACTTCCGGTTTTGCAGTGGTAAAATGATCTAGAAGGCAATTTAAGTTGTCTTTCCTCTCAGTCAAAGTACAACCAAAACACAAATTTATGTTTGCAATCCACTCTCCTTTCCATTACTACTTGTGCATATAAAAATAATTTCCAACAATAACAGTCTGCAGTTAACGGTTAACACATAACCATTTATATTTTAGCAGCAAAGCACCAGGAAAATGCCTGAGAACATTCTGTTTCAAAAGGGAAATGCTTTTAACCTACTTTATGAAAGTCAGCACATTCCAGACCTTTCCTACCCATCTTTTCTAGTCTCTGATATCTGTAGGCAAAATTCTACATTAACTATTAAAATGCATTTACCTTCTTTCAAATAAGTTTATTAAAATGCAAGTTGAACATTATAAAGCTTGAACATTTTCCCTACGATATTATTTCAGGAAGTTTAAGAAAAATTTAGCTCAATTATATTTCTAATAAAGTGAGCTGGAAAACAACTATGTAACATGACCATTTTTTTCTGGCTTTATTGAAATATATTTGACATTGTATAAGTTTAAAGTGTACAACATGATGATTTGATATGTATATATTGTGAAATATCACCACAGTAAGGTTAGTTAACACATCCATCACCTCACATAGTTACCTTTTTTTCTTTTTTTTTGTGGTGAGAATATCTAAGATCTACTTTCTTAGCAACTTTCAAGTATACAATTATTGACTATACATTACATGCCGTACATTACATCCCCAGAACTTATTCGTTTTATAACTGGAAGTTTGTAGACCAACATCTCCCCATTTGACCAACATCTCCCTATTTCCCCAACCTCCAGCCCTTGGCAACCATCAATCTACTCTTTGTTTCTATGCAACATGACTATTTTAAATGAAAGAGTCAGGAGAATTTTGTCTTGAAAAAAACATGAAAAATATGTTACTTTAGTGGTAAGTATATTAACATACTTTTTTTTTTTTTTGGTGAGGAAGATTGGCCCTGAGCTAACATCTGTGCCCATCTTCCTCTATTTTGTAAATGAGACACCAATGTCTTCTAGAAGAATTATTGTTGGAAGAGTCTTGTTATGCAGCTTTTATAAATTATGGTTTTGAAAAATATTTTATGACAGGAAAAAGATGGATACAAAACTGCATATATGACATGGTCACAATTTTGTAAATGTTTGTGTCTGGAGGATATTTCGGCAACATGTAAGCATGGAGAAATCATGGATGATTTTTATTTTCTTCTTCATATATGTTTTTAACTTACCAAATGTTCTACAACAAACAGATGTTTGTTTTATAATCCAAAAAAAAGTTCACATTTTCTAAGTTGAAGGGACAGCAGACTGTACATCACTTATTGTTAATTCTGCCCAAGTGAACCTCAGTTAAACACTCTTCCTTTTACTTTTAGCCAATGCATTATTCAAAATCCTTTAAAGTGCTCTCA